CGCATCGGTAGCTGCTTCATATATATCTTTAATGTATCGTATCATTGGCTATGCATAGAGATGTGTATCACATCGGCCTCAGTTATGGAAATGCACATCCCTAATTGGCTGATTTTGGTTATAGGCTGTACTGTCTTTAATAAGGTAAGTAATGAATTATAAATATTTTACCAATGTAATACTGCCAACAGAAAGTGTTGGAGTGCTATACTGTTGCTATGGTTACCTCCTTAATCACAATTGCTATTTGCAAAGGTCAGTTTGGCAGGAGGTGAAAATGTAATTTTTTATTATCATTTGAAATCATATTGAAATGTTCTTTATGCAAAATAGCATCAAACTGGTCGAATACTTCATAACATCCCCTCAACAGTTTGTTTTGGCATCTTTTGCGGGGCTTAAAGCTTTGATTTGAGAGGTCGGACCCCCATAAATCCTCTAATAATTTGTAGCTGATTTAGGTCAGGTACAACAAGTGAGTTGTAGATAAAGTTGATATTTTACTCCTTCTTCAGGCTTGGGTTTATGCAGCCTGACAGATATTTGCCCGTATGGATTGATTACCTTTGAGACAAGTCTTCGAATTCAGAGTGTCAGGGTAATGAGACCAAGTCCAATTAGTTAATCCTCTGAGCCAATAATACCGATAGGCAGTTTTTACAGGGTGAAATGTAAGTAAGATGCTGTTATTTGTGTTTCAGCTGCTGTATACTGTAGTTGAGGGCACTTATGCTATATCTGTTTAAGATAAAGAAATAGCCTTTTACAGCTACAAGAAAGTTTTTTTTTTATATTCATGGCCTTTAGATCAATCTCATCTAGACTGGAGATTCGAATGATGACTTTTGCAAATAAATAACAAGCAGCGCTAACATTTGAGCGAAACACTTTGGATTAGTCTCTGAGTCCTCTAAGAAGATGAATGTGGACTTAATGAGAGAGCAAGTCGTGCTGCTGCAGACTTTCAGCATGCTTGACCATGTCTCTCTGTTTGAGAGAGGGAAAGCAAGGGATAAGTGGACAGAGAGAGAAAGGTACAAAAGGGAAGGAGAGAGAGAGAGAGAGAGAGAGAGAGAGAGAGAGAGAGAGAGAGAGAGGGGGTCACATCACAGTGGAGTCAG